TTGCATGAAAGTCTATGAAAACTCCATATTATCCATATTAAAGTTATCCACAATATTATCCATACTTATTCTATTATATTCAGTCCATTTTAAGTTTTTTAACCGTCTGATTATATTTACTTAATTGTTTTTACTTATAATATAAAGCAATAAGACTGCTCGTTTATCAGGACAACGCCCTGAATGTTCCGTTCCCACTGCTCCATATTGAGTAGTTTCTGGTCAGAGATAATTTGTAAATTTATAACTTTTGAACAATAGCAAGGATCAAGTGTGAAATTTTGAATCGTAAGGAATTAATACGACCGATTAGCTAGACTTCATTAAATTCAGAATGATTTTGTTGTGCGGGATGAATCGACATGCAAAAATAAGTTGCTTTACCTTTTGCGCATTACGATTGAAACCAAAAAATCGCGCATAAATTAGTCCAAAGTATGAACACAAAATGGCTACTTTCAAATTTGTTTTTGCAAAAACTGATCAATTGTAGGATATTTTTTATATTTGATTGTCAATATCTTTTTAAAAATCGATATTTTCAAAGGATTAATTTTTTTCGTTAAAAACCTGTTATTTTGCCCTCAGAAAACTGACCACCATGCATAAAAATTCCGTTCAATTTGCGACAACAAAACTTTTCGTGTATCAGAGCGCTACGTCTCTACTACTGCCAATTTTCTCTGCGACTTCATTTGCTTGGGTTGAGTTTCTCTGAATAGCTCATTCGCCCAGCTAAGCTGAACCCCAAATTTGCCAAATTCTCTGTATTTTGTTCCACTGCTACAATGTCACAATGTAATAACTCCACCTTTCAGCTCCTCCGTCAGCTCCCAGTAGATAGATTCCTTCCAATTTTAAGTAAGGTAATCGATTCCCATTACCTAAGAGTTGAGGCTGAAGAAAACGTCATTTTGCGGTGTTACTCCCGGGCTGTTCTATTATACTTTTGTCCTAAAGGCTCTAAGGTCATTTAAAGGTCACTGCGGATTCACCCAGAGTCAATTTTGCATAATTGGGTTAGAATCCCAAGGGTTCCTACCTACCAGGTTTCATATACCATTAATAGTTTAATATATCGTCCATCCATATCCACTAATTACTTGCCAAGTTATTCAATTTTTACTGCTATAAAACCATCGTACACCGCTCATCACTTGTCGTAAATTGTCTATTTCCGCACTAAGAGGTAATTTAACAAAGTGCTCCAATTTAAATCAACCGTCCAATTTAGATGAAATTATAAAACATGATGTGATGGCCTTTGTCACTAGCTATGATATCCCAAGGTTTGAGCTCCTTGCCTTCATTGGGATCCAAAAACGTCCTCTGGAAGTTGGGGCGGCGACTATTTGCTTAGTTCATAACACCGGATGTGCTAAGCCAGTGGGGTTTGGGATTCAAAACTCAAGTTTCCCCCAAGTAGATCAATCACATACTAAGTTTTGCCACATTTCAATCGCTAGCTACCGAGTTCTCGTAGGGCTATTTGCACTTGCGGGAACCGTTATCTTTTGCGCCAGCGGGATCCTAAAGATTCGGCGTTTTGCTTATGCCCGGGTGAAACCATCTCTAGTACCCTCCTATGAGTTTCATAAAGTTAGTTTCCTTGGTTTCCATTTGGAGGTTGTGGGTTACGCGACTGGTTTTATAGACGTCACCAAAGAAGGGACTAATTCTTTCAAGGTTCGAATACTTTTGAGATGGGTCATTTGTTTGCTTTGATAACAAATTGAATCTTTGATATCAAATTGAATTGTTTTTGAGACGTCAAAAATCAAAATAAAGGGACAAGGAATCAAGAAAAATTGATTTTTCTGAAGGCCAATACTTTTTTGTAATAGGAAAAGGTGAGCGCTTACACAGACGAGCTTTGCTCAATCGTTTCTGTCTTCTTTAAACCTAAGTTTTTAGGTTTGAGATGGTAGTTTTCAAAAACACTTTTTGACTTTTGACTTTGAGATGACAGTTTTCAAAAACACTTTTTTGACCCATTCTTTACATTGAAATCAAAATCTCAGATTCGGGAGGGTAATTTTTGGAAAAAGACAAAAAATTTCAAATAACAAGGAAAAATTCGACTTTTCCGAGGGTCATAACTTTTTGTGCAAAAGAACTTGGGCGTAACCGCTGATGCAGTGGAGCTTCCCACACTCCGTTCTACCTATTGAATCCAAAATCTCAAACTTGTACGGGTAGTTTTTTAGAAAAGTCAAAAAAAATTTTAGAAATTGTTTTTTAGAAACGGTCAAAAAATCGAATATTTGGTTTTTCGGGGCGTGGTAATTTTTTGTGTACAGAAACTACGGCGTAAGGGAAGCTTTTTACAGCACGTTCTAGCTATTGAAACCAAAGTTTCAGATTTGAGAGGGTAGTTTCCGAGAAAAATCAAAAAATTTGAAACAAATGTTACAAAATTGAAAAGTTGACTTTTCTGAGGATCACAATTTTTGCTTAAAAATTGGGCATAATCATTCAAGCTGCGGAGTTTTCCACAACCCATTATACTCATTCAATCTAAAACCTCAGATTTTGGGAGGGTTTTTTTGAGAGAAAACGAAAAGTTTCAAAAAACGGTCAAAAAATTCGTAAAACTGATTTTTCTGAGGGCCATAGCTTTTTGTCTGAAAAACTTGAGCGTAACCGCTAAAGCAGGCGAGCTCTCCACAACTCGTATGTTCGATTGAGACCAACAATTGAGATTTGGGAGGGTAGTTTTCGAGAAAAATCTAAAACTTTCAAAAAAAGATTAAAACTCGAAAAGTTGACTATTTTGAGGGCCATAACATTTTGTGAAAGAAAATTTGGTCTAATTACTTATGCAGGGGAGCTTTCCACAACCTGTTCTAACCATTGAACCCAAACTCGCAGATTTGTGTGGGTAGATTTTGAGAAAATTTATAAAATCCAAAAATTAGGGCAAAAAATTCACCCCACACACTTTTTGGAAGGCTCTAGAAAGTGTATTAAAGTAGAGAGAGGATAGAGGAGTGTGAAGGCCCAAAGGGGATTGGCCGTAGTCCCCATTGGTGCCACTCCTTTGAAATTTGGCAGGGCAGTTTCAGAGAAAAACGAAATTTTTCCAAAACGTCTCAAAAAATAATAAAATAAACCCGATCCCATATATTTTCTTAATACCTGTTTTTATCAAACAAGAATTTCTAATACAATAGTCTGTGTAAATATTCTTAGCATTGGCTGTATTCAATATGAACAATGTCAAAATGAACACATTTGCTCGCAACAATATTTGCGTCGCAACAATATTTGCGACTTAGGTTGGAAAAAAAGTGAGTTCGCACAATAACACAAGCATTGCTTGTGTAAAGAACCGAATAAATGGCAAGTTTTTTCTCCCAATTTGGCCAATTTAGCAGTTTTTTAAACCCGATTTTTTTCGAAAAGTGATCATAGCTGTTTTTGTTTTATAGTTGAATTCCAAATAACAATTTGTAGATGCTATAAAAGTTTTCCATCAAAATAGCTTAGTTGAAATGTCGAAACTTGATTGAAGAAAATACAACAGACCTAAGCAAAAATGTTCTATTTTCGAACATTGGAACAATTAGTTTGCCTCATTTCAGTTTGGAACAATGTTGAGTGCGTGGTAATTTTCCACGCATAACCAATTCGAGCATTGAAACTATTATAGATATAATTCAAGCACTTTCCATCTCAACTTATGCGAGCGCAAAGGAAAGGAAAATTTCCGGATCGTTCAACGCAGACTGCCAAAAAAAACCGAATAATATTGACAATTTTTATATTTTTTAAGAGGTTGTGTAGCATCCCGCACCGAGCGCCCATGGATCATTATCGATTATATTGTCATATGGTCAGCATCTATAAAATGACAAAATAATCGATTATAATCCAATAAAAATGGATTATTATCCTAATATTTTTATCCCAATAAAATCCATTATAATCGATTATAATCGATTATAGTGGATTTTTTCGAGGGGTTATTCATGAAATTTACAATTTTGTTCAAAATTATCTCATTTCCTGTTTAGTGTAGTTGCTACGTTATGTTTCATAAAATGTTTCATTTGAGAAAAAAAATTATATTTTTTTGTCTCAACTTTTTCTAATTCATCGCAGTTTAACACTTCATTTTACACCCCCCCCCCCCCCCCCCCCCCAGCCTGTTAAGCCCACAGTACCCAGTATACTACCACCGACCGTATTTACTACCCCCCCCCCCAGTTTACCACCCTCCCACCATTTACCTCCCCCCTCCTCCAGTTTACCCTGCCCCTTTAGCTGGGGGGGGGGGGGGCAAGAAAGCTTAAGGAGGTGAGGGGATGACCAGTTTATCCCCCTCCCCCGGTTTATTTACCCCCACCCCGTTCGGTTTATTTACTCCCCCCAGATTTCCACCCTCCCCGTTTACTTCCCCATCCCCCAGTTTACACCACTCCCCCCAGTTTACAGTGCCCCTTTAGCTAGGGGGGGGGGGTAAAAAGCTTGAGGGGGCGAGGGGACGAAGTTGAGACATGGCATTTAGTAAAAGACAGGGCACAAATTCTGCAAACTTCTCGCAAAATTTGCAAAGTTTTGAAACTGAATCACAAAATATAACAGAGACATTAATAATGCCTTGCCTACAACAGCATGAGAGGTCATTCCTCAGATGGTGACGATTGCTTCCATGAAGTCAACTGATAAAATTTTTGACGGTAGAATTAGAAAGTTGGAGCAAACATTTGTGGGGAAAACTCAAAAACAAGCAAAGTAATTATATTTTCTCTTATTATTATATATACATTTTTATACATATTCTTTGAGAAACCGCCTGTTCGATATGTGACTCTCTTACCGTTCCCCCGTCAGAGAATGTGCCTAATCGTGAGAAATACAAATAATCTTGACACTGCCTGAAGTTTTTCGAAATTTGGTATGCATGATAACTAACTAATTTCAAACAATTTTGGTCTTCATAAACAACCCATTAAAATCAATGAATCATGCAAAAACTTCATTTTTGTCAACTTGGGGTAAACGGTAAGATAAGTTCTTTGTATTCATAGGTTTTTTTCGGTTTATATACACGAGTTGTACGCCATTTCGTGCAAAATTATGCACAACGTAACCATGCGTATGCACTACGCATTTGGCTCCTCTTGTTTGGTATCAGCATCAGCATTGTTGTTAGGCTGAACAGCAATGTACACATTGTCCTGGACCTCAACAGGTGGGGCTGTCACATACAAAGATTGGTTGTCATCAGCAGAAGGGTGAGTCTCTTTTTGGTATCCGTCATAATCAGGAAGGTATTTTTGGTTATCGTATTCCTGATTCGGATTCAAATTGTCAGCGTTAAGATAGTTCATATTTGGGTTGTTGTGGTTCGTGATGATGGGGTTTGTGGCGTAGTTCAGGTTGTTGCACAAATTGGGTGCAGTTGGTGAGTTGCTTTGTTGGAGAGCAGTACTGTAATAATTAGCGGGTTCTTCGTACCTGAAACATTTCAGTTTTGGATAAACCCCTTTTTAGAACAAAAAGTATCTTAATAAGTTGGTTCGTTCTGTTAAGGTTTTGATCATACTCAGTGTCAACTGTCTTTGCATCCTGATTGCTTCCACCACATCCTCTGAAACAATAAATTCAATTCATTAATCTAATTTGCAGAATAAAATTTAGAGGCTTGAATTCAAAGCAGAAAAAGTTTAAAAATACCCTTCGTTCTTTCGACAAAGGAATATAATTGCAACCACCAGAACAGCCAAAAGGATCAGTGCCACCAGGCCTCCCACGACAGAGCCAATAATTGGGGCCAAGTTGGACTCATCTGAGTTTCCAGTTCTTGCTGACGCCGTATTCACCGCTGAAATGTATCAATTTCGGCTTGCTTTTTTTTTCCGATTTGTAGCTATTGAATTAGCCTTCACCGCGTTAAAAAAAATCTGAAAATTGCGCAAAAATTTGATTTTACGAAGTATTTGCTAGTGAAAATCGAGGTCTACTCATTAGCATCAAAAAGAAAACAACTTCGGACCAACTTACACAAGTCGAAAAAAAGGTAGCGCTAATGCCAACAGTTTTCATAAAACAATGTTTTACGGTAAATTGAAACAAAACTTGGTTGGACGGAAGACAGTCATATGCTCTTATTAACATGTTACCAGATGAAAAAATTTTCACTAAATTTTTTCCATAGCGTGTGGGGGTTCAATTAGGAAATCAGATTGAAAAAAAAGTATTTTGTTCATCTATTTAAACAAAAAGTTTTCATTGACAATGAATGGCAATCAGCCATTCAGTGTTTTTCCTTGGTACACCAGTCGTGATTGATTTTGATCCACAGGAACGGTTTGTGGTAATAGGACCAAACTTCTTAATTTTTGGTTGGAAAGAATTAAATTGGTCAAATATGGCATTATTCAGTATTTGACTTGCACTCAATATATTTCAAAGACAATAATGGTACTCGTGAAAGGGGCGGATTTAGTGATAGCAAGAGGCGGACAAACCCCCCTCCCCCTCCCTCCCCTCAGAGATTTGGCGCTCTCACCAATGAGAGAGTCCTCCCTTTTGTATTATTTTATACATCTATTTTCGGCCGACCAAGCTTAAATTTTTTCTAAAGGCACCTTTGGCGCCAATATATGCTAATTTCAAGACAGTGCTCAAATTTGGTCGAATTAATCAAAAGGTCGGCCAAATTTTTGAAAATCTGCCCCCTTGAGAAAATCCTAGATCCACCGCAGACTCGTGATTTTTGATTCAAGAGAAATCTAATTTTTATGGAATGAGATTGGTTGGAAATCCTACTGCAAAATACCTGTTTGTTTTTTCAAGAACGAATTTCCAATTGAAGTAACATTTTTTTGCGACAATAATAAACTTGCGGAAGAAAAATATCTTAAGTATTGCCGGTATGTTTATTTAGTTCTGATATAATTTAATATAATTTATGTGAACAAGAAAAACAAACTTAACTTACAATTTCAAACGCAATTTTTCATTTTGGGTTGAGATTAGGCAAAAGCTGAGCGAAACAAAATTTCTTAGTACTTTTTCAGAATGGGTGTAATGCAATTTGTTTTGCAAAAAACAGCAAATAAAATTTTACTCCAAAATAGGTCAATAGTACTTTTTTAGTTAACCCAGAACTACACTGAAGATTCCAAATTACTTCATAAAAAATATATTGCGAGAGGCCATGCAAAATACCCAACAAATTTCTAGAAGAAAAAATCTCCAAAAATAAGTAAAAAAGAATATTTTGCCAGATAACCAATGTAGATTTAGGTGATGGCTTCTCTAGGTGCGTTCTCTCTCTCTCTCTCTCTCTCTCTCTCTCTTTCTCTCTTTCTCTCTTTCTCTTTTCTCTCTCTCTCTCTCTATCTCTCCTAACAACACCGCCATGTAGTCCCGTGGTTAGTGAATTTAGCGGGGCGACCGAGATTCACTACTATCTACAATCCCCAAAAATACTTGGCGGCAAATAAGTTGGCTGCAAATATTTGGTGGCGGACGAGACAGCGCTAAGGGCAGTTCACAGAGTTGGCATGTAACCAAAAAAAGTACGGTGTACTGCCGTTAGGGCTGTCTCGTCCGCTCGATACGATCGCGTGAATTTCCAATTGTAATTTAATTTAGATGAGCATAAGTCCAATTACAAAGGATCTGAGTGGTCAGGATATAACCTCTCAATCTAATCCAAAGGAAAGGATCTGCGATGTATCAGCACAATTGTTGAATTGCATTTTAACTTCCAACTACCTCGGCTGAAATTTTTTCTCTCTAGTGAACCCTAATTAACTTACTAAATACAATAAGTCAACACAAATACTCACGTCGGCCCGCTAAAATTAAAAGCACCTATAGCAATCACTACTCCTATGAGGTATTTTAACTGATTTCGTAAGCTGCAAGAATCACTGTTCTGATTCTTGAAGACTATCTGATTACTTATCTTTCTTTACACTTCGTTTTGGTTAAGTCACGCCATTCCCTATCAGTCCTGGTATCCGCTGAAACGACACAACCGCAAACGTTTTGTGACTACGTCCCTCCCCATGTCAACACTGCCATGTGCCTAGCTCGGTTTCTTTTCTCAATCTAATCATGCTTATTGGATACCCGGTTTGCGGTAGGTGTCACAATTTGACCTAGCAAATGAATGTCATACCATCTTAATCAACTAATTCCTGACCTCCGTGAACTTCAGCCCTCGAGTTTTACTCAACCTCTTAACCATGCTATTTTTTTCATGAGCTTACCAAGGTCTTTATTTCATTTAATCCAATAACACTACGACCTTCCGGGGTATGGGGAGACCCTTTTCATGAGTCGCTAGATCATTTCCAGCATCTAAAACTTCCATCTTTACTCTATTCCAATGATGACGTTCTAGCTATCAGGGTGACTTAATTCGTCCTTTAGGGATCAAATTAAACCAAAAAGCCACCTCCAGGGAGCCCAGTAAATTCACCGACCGTTCAAACTTTTTAGAAGATTTAATTCTCATGCCGCGGTCCTATTACTGTCAATTTCCTCTGGAACTATTTTTTTTAGTCTAGTGGTTTTGCTATAAATAGATCATTTGCCAAGTTAAGCTGAACGAATTGTATACCAAGTTTACTTTGAATTAATTCTACTACGCCAGGGTTGCAATGTGGAACCTATATCTCTAACATGTTCAGCTTCAGTTCCCAATGGATAATTTTCTTTCCAATTTTTAGTAAGGTCACCGATTCCTAACTTCAGGGGTTGGGCTGTGGAATACGTTACATTCAAGCGTTAATACCGGAGTTTTTTAAATTGATTCTGGGGTCAAAACGCCCAAAGGTCAACTTAAGCTCAACCAAGTTATCCCATTTATAAATTCCATTACCACTTTTCGGGAAAACGGCTATTAACACTGGAAGGAGTAACCGGAAGGGTTCTACTGACAAGGGTTCTTTTTCCGGCGTTCGTATTAACTGCCGCAAAAAAATCATTATAAACTTGCTCAATTTTTTGCGTAGATTGCCTATATCTGGTCTAGAAGGGTCTTTTTTAAATTGGTTAATTAATAGTTTAAATTATAACACATGATGTATTTTGCCATTATCTATCATCGGCTCCAAGTTTCGACTTCCTGCTCTCATTGGGGCCCGAGACACGACTTCCTGAAGCTAGGTTAGGCTTTGTGTTATTAAGGGGTCCTGGGTGTTTGGGGTTCTAAGCTTAAGCTTCTCTCAACTAGTGCTACAACGTACTAAAAATTGAGCCCGATAATACCGCTTGTTGCCGAGTTCTGATAGGGCCATTCACACCTCCGGATATAGTTATCACTTGCCCCCCCCCATGAGTCTGTGGGTCCAATTTTTAGTGTGCCTTGGTCAAATCATCTCTAGTACCACCCCTCTGAGTTTCCTTAAGTTTTCTTTATAGTTCCGATTTGGAGGGGGTTCGCCGATTATTTTTCTGGCTTAGGAGCGATGAATTCTTCCAAACTTGATTTAGTCTAAGCGTGACTCATTCTTTATTTATCTACTTAACCAGCTTAACCACCTTAACTACACGTGCTTGAACTTCGAATTGGAATATTGCGTGCAAGCCCAAATTAGTTTAGGATGAAATATTTTACTTTTTCCAAAATTGGAGCTTTTCTTGAGGCCGTATCTACCAAGCGTTAAGGCTTGCTCCGTGATTTATCCCGAAAAGAGAGTAATGCTTTACGCCGCAATGCCTTATCTTTTTCCCTTTGTAAACAATCGCTCTCAGGGAAAAGTTATGCCGGAAGTTCAACCTTAAGATGGGAAGCAACCCGTTACCCATGGAGGACATTCCCACTAAAAAATTTTCTTTTCAATCATTTTTCGTGGATTTTTTCGTGGATGTTTAAATGCCTATAGCTTTTTTTAGCCGTACAAAAATCTTTACTTCACTTTTATTTGCAGTTTAAGGACAAAATGAGGAAATAAAAGCGAGAAAAAAAATCAAAACTTGTTCTTTTTTAAACATCAAAAAATTAAACAACAATTTTTTCATCGATAACGAATGATAGTTGGACATTCAGACAGGCGCGGATCTAGGAATTTCTCGAGGGGGAAGGGGGGCGGATTTTTGAAAAAAATTTTGAAACCACTATAAAGACCCTAATTTAACCATTTAACCAAATTTTCAGACGAAATTTTAGAAAAAGGTCAAAAAAGGCTTTTTTTTGGAAAATTTCGACCAAAAATTGCGTTTTTTTGGCGCACGCTCCCCCCTCAAAATTACTATAGATTGGCGCCAAAGGCGCCTTTAGAAAATAGTTAGGGTCCTTCACCAAAAATGGAGAACTCAAAATAGTACAAAGGGGGACCCTTTGGGCCGGCAGGGGGTCGAATCCCTGAAGGGAGGAGGCGTCCGCCCCCCGCCCCCCTCTAAATCCGCTACTGCATTCAGAGCTTGCCCAGGTATTATCAGTGGTGGTAGATTGTCCGCAACAAAATTAATATTTACGTCGCTCAGTTGGCCAAGTCAAGACATCACTGTCTGTATGAAGACCGAATTTCTCCACAACAACCGCTAACTTGTAGTCTCGTCCGTTGTTCAGGTCTCGCAGTACAAATGGCCAAAACTGAGGGTTACTCGCAATCGTCTGCCCATCCACGAACAAACTACAAAGATTTTTTTAGATTATTATAACAAAAAAGAACATGAAAACTGATTTTGAAATCAACGAATTTGAAAATTATAGCAAAAATCAAAAGTGGCTCATTTCAAAGATTTTTTTGCTCTCAGAATTTTTTTTGCCTGTGTGGTGTATAAGAAGTGAAACTTAAGGTAGTAAGATCTTTTTAAAACCCTGTTTTAAAACATTAAAACTTAAAAGCACAATTTGACGCCATTTCTATAACTTAAAACAGGTACAACATATATGCTAACTAAATGAAAATGGACGTGGGTTACCTCTTAAAGTACAGAAGAAAAATGTTTGCCTTCCCGGGTTGACCTCCATAAACCGAAAATGCTTATCTTACATTTCCCCACACCGAAAATGCTCATCATACAATTGTCTACATCAAATGTACGGAAAATTGCTTATCATACAATTTTCATACAATTTCAAAAAACCATTGAAAAAATATTCGATACAGTTTCTCCGGCTATTTGAACCAAATAAAACAGTCTGGTGATGAAAAATAACTACGTTTGTTTTTTTTTTTGAAAAAAATGGTTATCATACAATTTCCATAAATAAAAATTGCATGATAACCATTTTTTCATAAAAGGCAAGATTTTCAGAAACATGTTGAAACTTGTTTTTAATCAAATTTAAAGTAATTAAGAGTGCTTTTAATCAATTCAAAGCACTTTGCTCATCAAAAACGAAAATTTAGTTTGAAGCTAAAAAAATGGTTATCATACAATTTCCATATATGAAAATTGTATGAGAACCATTTTTTCATAAAAGACAAGATTTTCAGAAACATGTTTAAACTTGCTTTTAATCAAATTTATAGTAATCAAGAGTGCATTTGCTCAATTTAAAAGACCTTGCTCATCAAAAACGAAAATTTAGCTTGAAGCTAAAAAAATGGTTATCATACAATTTTTATGTATTTCCAAACTGTAGGAAATTGTAGGATAAGCATTTTTTCATATATGCATGCATTTTTGGTCAACCCGGGTTCGTAGTTTTTAAGAAATTTATTGAACAATGAAATTAAATCGGATTTGCTTCGTGTTCCCAATTAGTTGAACCGTCTGAGCTACAATGAACTCACGTAACGGAATCATACTGTCGATAGTTTTCCAGTTGAAGCTCAACAAAGTCCTCGCCTTCTTCCAAAATGATGAAATTGGGCTTGGCCGGAGCTGTGTACGCGTTAATTTGAACCCAATTTGAAACTGTCTTCTCATTGTTTTGCTCGCAAAGGAAAGCAGATCTGACTGAAAGTATGTAGAGAGTCATTGATGCCAGTTGTTCGGGCCAGTCAAACATGTTTTTGGTGATTCCAGTTTCTAAAAAAAAACGAATCTTTGTAAAATACAAAATAATAAATTTAGCGAAAAATTGTCGATTTTAACAAGCAGTTTTGTTGAAACATTAATTGTCATGAAACATAAAAAAACTGAATTCTTATTGAAAGCTAGATAAGCAATTGTTTTGATAGGTTTATGAACTGTAAATATTTCAGAGTTCAAAACCTAAAAATTTTGCACGGATTGAAAAAAAATTGTGAGAAAAACTTTTTTCCACAATTTTTTTCAATCGGTGCAAAACTTTTTCGGTTGAAAACATCTACAATTCATAAACCTATCAAAACAATGGGTCATATAGCTTTCAGTGGAAATTCTGCTATTTTATGTTTCATGGCATTTTTTTCATACAAAAATTTCAGCAAACCTATCCATAATAACGCAACAGCGGCTTTGTGATGCTTAAGCTTCAGAAAGCCGCTTTTGCATTATTTTGGAAACGTTTGCTTAATTTTTTTCATGATTGCGATATACAATTGGGATAATTATTCTACTACAATTTAGTCACTGTACACCACAGTCTGTGACTACCTGTTTCAGGCTGGGTAGGTTCATTTTCTTATTCAAAAATAGGTCTTTTTCGTACTTATCTTTATGGATGATCTTAAATCGTTCAGATCTTTGTTTTGTCTTAGATTTGATTTTAAAATTTACAGGTGTTGAAGGTGATTGTTTTTTCAGATATATAGTTAATCTTTATTAATCAAGATCTGATTTTAACAATTTGAGATTTCGGGATGAATTTGGTTTGTTCAGTTTTTTGTACCACAATTAACGACGGCATTGCGGTTAATCATAATATTATAGATGAGGCGCTTAGCATAGTGGTAAGGCGATTGCTTAGCGATCGTCAGATCGTAAAATTGATCGCCTGTCATGGAAATAATATTGTGTGAGGGTAATCTCTGAAATGACCTCTAGTTTCAGGTCTACCACAGCCTGACCGATTACAGCTGCAATAGTGGTACCACATAAAAGTTCTAGACGCAAAAAAAGAGGTTCGCTCAGCAAGAATATCTCAGTTTTCAATGCGGGGAAATGAGAGAAACGTACTATGCTTAGACAGGCTGGATAGTTTTTCATAGATCTTTGGCGAATCGCAGAAACCACAATCATTATTATTATCTACTGATTTTGATATGTTTTGCCTAAATTCAAGGTAAAGTCGTTGGTGTCGTTTTGAAATTTGAGTAAATGTTGAACTAAAAAACCGAGTAAACCGAACAATTAGATCATTTTGCATATATTCTAAATTATTCATGTGATAAATGCAGAAAGTGGTATAAAATTTAGAACGATGCGTATTAACAATAAAAAGTATATTATTAAAGTTAAATTAATTTCATTTGAATTGCTTTTAAACGAATCAATTTGACGAAACAATCGTTGTTTATCAATTTTTAATCGGTTATGTTGTCAAAGGGTGACATGGGCACCAATCAGTTTGACAACATTTAGACCGCAAAAAAAATCTATCATATTTGATACGTTATTCACTTAATTAGCTTGCGGGAGTGCACATAGTGTTTATCCTGGAAAAAAAGTTACTAGAGCCATGGGAATTTTTGGAATATAAATATCTTGACGATTGAGGCAGGAAGAATTTTTGAACTTGTTTTTGATAATTATTGATTAGTGGTTTGGTTAGTTATATTTGATTAGACTTTAGTTAGTGTTGCTTTAATAAGCACTCCTCTCTATATGATATAACAGAAAATACAGGCAAAAAATAACATATGAAGCCTAAGTGTGAAATGAGAACATTCAACTGTGCGTAATTCTATCTAGAGCCTACGTAAAATTTAGTTCCGACTTCCGAAGAAAACGAAATATTTACGCTAGGGCCAGTTGATTTATTATAAATCAATTTTTGACGAAAGTTGTTTTTCTACCAACTAAAGATAATGTAATCCAGAGGTCAAATTTACAAAAACTTACCTGTGATCACTTTTAGTAAAGTTATGGCTATTTGCAAATGGCTAATTTGGTCAATTTGACATAATTATCACGCAATATATTGCATTCTTATTACACGCTTAAGCGGTAGATTAATACACGAGAAATTGAATTCAGGCCAACTATTTGGTCTTGTGAAAAGGACAGACGCTATTTACATCCCGTTGTTTTTAAAATCAGCGTGTAGGGAAACGAAAAAAAAAGCAAAAAAAAAGTTTTTTCAATTTTTTCTTCAAGTTCAATCAAAAAACATTTTAATTGGCCTTAAGTTTTACATGCAAAATTTTGTCTTGTTAAACGAACAGTATTGTTTGTATTAAATTTGGATTTTGAAAAATTCGTGATGCGAATAAATTTTTGTTGTGTTTTGATTAAGAAATTTTTTTGATTATTTTATTGCAAGTAGTTTTTTCTTTTGTCAGTGTGATTATTGGATAAAAAGTTATATTTGTGGGTAAAGGTCAGTTAGCTTTAGAATCAATTGATAATTGTACAAAATCATTTTAATGGTAGGATCAAAGATTAAAAAAAATGAAAGGTGCTTTTTATCTATGCTTATTATTCGTTCTTATTTGCAATAATTGATTCGTTTTTATTATCAGTGCTAAATTTTGTCGGAATAAAATTCGAGGCAAAAAAGTGAAAATAGGCAAAAAAATTGCGAAAAATTAAATCTTAACTTTTTCCGCAGAACGTCAATTGAGATTGATATTGTATTTTGCACACAGAATTTTGAGTATAGTGCTGCATTCCAGATGTCTGTCGAACAAAAATGAGCTGAGAAGTTTGAAAATCTTGATTATTCTACAAAAAATCTGAACATGTTTTTGGTCTTGTTACCCATTTTCAAATTGAAAAGACACAAGACTGCTCGTATCACGGCGAAGCTTTGAATGTTCCGACTGCTTTTTAAGGTTTATGGAGCAGTAATAACATAGAAAAATTAATTTTGAGATTTTTGTGAAAATCATCCCCCCACACGCCATTTTTTGTACAAGTTATCCCCCTACAGCGAAGCCCTGAATGTTCTGATTGCCTTTTAAGGTATATGGAGCAGTGATAAAAAAAATTTAAGTTAAAAAAATATTTTTTCCTACAACAATTTGAGATTTTTTTTGTGAAAGTCATCCCACCACAGGTCAAATAAAGTACAAATGGATAGATTTGCTCCTTGGAACAAATAAATTATGGCAAATAAGCTTCGCTCAACCAATTTGGAATGATTTCTAAGACGGATTAGATCTCCGCTTACGCGTTAATGGCGCGAAATATATCGCGCACTAATTGTCCCAAATTGGCAATCTTTAAACCCCCATAACTACAAAAAATGATCACAGGTACAATATCTTCTCAAATTTTTCAAATTTAAGCTCAAGACAACAATAACTTTCGAATGATATACAACAATTCCGTCAAAAATAGCTAGTTAAAAAGTCGAAATTTGTCTGAAGAAAAAAACCTTTAGCACAAATATTCCGTTACTTTCGTATCGAAAGTCGGAACAATAAACAAAGTATTTCCTTGGATGCAAAGTCAAGTTCAAATAGAGAGCTTTATTATTTAGTATTTTTAACTAGCTCAACTCATTCAAATTGGAATAGTATCTGAGCCTGCCTAACTTGCCGGTTACGCTCCGCATTAATAGAAAACTTGTCTTTTTACAAACCATCATGAAAAATGATCACAGATGATGCATTTAATTTTGAAATCACTGTAAAGTAAGTTGTAATTTGTAGATTGTTCAGCTGTTTTCTGATTGAATTTTGAAGTATTGGAGACAATTTTTATAAGCCCAACATATGTATAATTATATACAAACACCTTTCGGGTTATTTTTTTAATATAATTCCTTCAAAATGGCTTCTTAAAAATTCGAAGTTGAAATGGCTTTGAAGAGAAATAACCCCTCCGATCACAATTATACTTTTAATTTTCTTGAGAAACCTAGAGAAAACAATTAGAACAAGACTGCTCGTATCAGGGCAAGCCCTGAATGTTCGACTGCTTTTTTAGGTTCATGAAGCAGTAATAACATTAAAAAAGTATATTTAATAAAATAAAATGAAATTTTTTTTTCTAAAATTTGATTTTTTTTTGAAAAAACTTCTCCCCACACGCCATTTAAAATACAAAAAGATAGATTTCGTTCCTTGTAACAAATCAATTATGGCAAATCAGCTTCGTTCAACCAATTTGGAACGATTTATAAGAAGGATTAAATCTCCGCTTACGCGTTAATAGCTCGAATTATATCGCGCGTTAATTGTCCCAAGTTGGCCAAAATGGCAATCTTTAAACCCTCATTACTTTACGAAAAATGATCACAGGTGAAAAATCTTTTCAAATTTAAGCTCAGGACAACAATACCTTTTGAATGGGATAAAAAAATTCCATCAAAAATTGCTAGTTAAAAAGTCGAAATTTGTCTGATGAAAAATAACTCACCCCGAGCACAAATATTCCGTTACTTTCGTATCGAAAGTCGGAACAATAAACAAAGTATTTCCTTGGATGCAAAGTCAAGTTCAAATAGAGAGCTTTCTTATTTAGTATAGTGTTAACTAGCTCAACTCATTCAAATTGGAATAGTATCTGAGCCTGCCTAACTTGCCGGTTACGCTCCGCATTAATAGAAAACTTGTCTTTTTACAAACCATCATGAAAAATGATCACAGATGATGCATTTAATTTTGAAATCACTGTAAAGTAAGTTGTAATTTGTAGATTGTTCAGCTGTTTTCTGATTGAATTTTGAAGTATTGGAGACAATTTTTATAAGCCCAACATATGTATAATTATATACAAACACCTTTCGGGTTATTTTTTTAATATAATTCCTTCAAAATGGCTTCTTAAAAATTCGAAGTTGAAATGGCTTTGAAGAGAAATAACCCCTCCGATCACAATTATACTTTTAATTTTCTTGAGAAACCTAGAGAAAACAATTAGAACAAGACTGCTCGTATCAGGGCAAGCCCTGAATGTTCGACTGCTTTTTTAGGTTTATGAAGCAGTAATAACTTTGA